ATTGTGGTGTTTCGAGCCACTTAATGTTGCTGCCCACTTGGCCATGGTTGGCGGTCTCTCCCCGCCATGAGCTCCCCGTGCACGGCCCAACACAATGGTATTTTGAGTTGAGATTCTTGTGTGTAAAGTTAAATTTCGGGAATGTAAAAATTCCATGAGAATTTTTAGATTTCCTTTTAGGCTTCTACCAAATATGGGGAAATAAAAATCTCAAAGTCACTTTCCCAAGATTTTAAAACTTACCCACCTACCAAACACCTCATTAAAGTTTTCTAAAGTCAAAAATGTCAATCGATCCTAGTGCTTCAGGGCCTTTTTATAATGATTGGACCGAGTAAATTCGATATGTCTCACTAGAGATGGTTACAAGACATTGCATCGACCGATCTCAATGCATTTATTTTTCATTGATCAATCACACATTGTATTTGAGTCTCATGTATCTGGTATCACTTGTTGAAATTCTTATTCATAAAAATAAATAATTTAAAAATTAATTCCAACAATTTTAATCGATTAAGGAAGGAAATATAACACACAATATAGATAATAACTAAGTAGTGAGCTTAGAGTAGGAGGCAGAGTATATATGATAATGTAAATTAGCTCTTCCCCAAGACCAAGTCTTGACAACACTCGTACCCAGCTAGTACTGTAGAGACAACCTAAGGCGCTTAACAAGTACATAAAATATATCCAAATGTTTTGTGCAATGTTATTAAACTCGATCCGGTCATTGATTTGGTCGAGGTACTGGATTATTGGGTTATTGATTTAATCAGCGGGTCACTAATTCAAACGTATGACCCGGTAAGTATATGCAAATTTATAATTTATATTGAAAAACTATAAATATACTCAAATACCTATAAAAAAATAATACCAATTTCATATATTTTAATATAAAAAATAAATAAATCACGCATTATTAATATCCAACAAAGGATCAAACAAACATATAATGTTTGTGATACTGGTACTTCAGGTTTACTAGATGACATCTCTTGCTATAAATTAAATTAAAATTCCTTGCATAGTGCATAGCCAAGATAATTTAGTATTGCAGATACATAACTTATGTAAGTCAATAAACAACAAATTACTCAAATATTTCAAAAGAAAACAAACCATTTGTGAATTTAAAAAAATGTTATCCTTTATGAATATTTTTTTTCAAAACAAATTTTTTTTTATGCACCGGGTCGGGTCATCAATTTTCTCCAAAATCGGTCGGGTTGCACAGGTTTACACCGGTTCCAATGCTTGGTTGATCCGCTGCTTCACCCGAACCTGTTATATGACCAATTTACTGATTCCCGGGTCGTCCCGGCCGAGCGGATCCAGGTTTATCAACATTGGTTCCATAACTTATGCATAATTCTTAAAGAAAAATACCTTTGAAGGATACGTTACTTAATTGTATTGAATAATTATTTGCATCATTTCTACAAATTATTGAGCAAAATGCTGGATATTATATAATTTGTAATACATTTAATTGATCATAAATTGCTACAAGTGAAAACTTTCACATGATTTTGAAGGTCTTGAATTCAATAACATCTATTTTGATAGTTAAATCAAAATTGTCTATGCCCATTAAAATAAGGGAAAACACAAGATTTTACCTATATTTCAAAGTATTTGCCATTATTATAATATGTATTTTTTCATAATATGACTATTGTTATATATGAATGTCCAAAGCACAACTTTATTAGCAAAGGATGTCATTCTAACGAATTTCAATTGAATTAATAGAAGAATCTTCATCTTCAATACCACTAATTAATAAAGAAAGTAATTTTGGATTCATTGTTAAAATCAAAGAGCATGAACAAGAAGGTGCTAATGTAAGTATGTAGAGAAATGCTACTTATGAGGACATAAAGTTACATAAAATTGCTACAAGATTGAGGAAATTGTATTAAGTTTTATTTTTTTATTGATATTATTGTATTTCTTTATTATCTTTTTTTTAACTCTTATAACTTTGAGTTGCTCGCCAAATATTTATATGATTTTTTAACATCTTATGAATATATATTATCCTTTCAAATCTTATAGAGGAAAAATATGATTGTGCCAATTTACAAAAATAAGAGAGATATTTAGAATCGTTCTAACTATAGAGGTATTAAACTTATAAGCCATATTATGAAGTTGCGGAAGAAAGCTTTGAACGTCGCTTGAAGAAAGAGACCAAGGTCTTTGAAAATCAATTTGGGTTTATGCTAGGAAGATGTACCATGGAGACCATTTTCTTGATATGAAAATTAATGGAAAGATATCGAGAAAAGAAGAAGGGCTTACATATGGTGTTTATAGATCGTGAGAAGGCATATGATATGGTTTCAAAAAAAGTTCTACTGTGAGTTTTTTAGAAGAAAAAAGTATCATCAAAGTATACAGATGCAATCAAGGATATGTGTGATGATGCTACTAAATGTGTGAAAGATTGTAACGGAACATCAAGTTATTTCCTATCTCGGTCGTTGTACATCAATGTTCTGCTCTAAGTCGTTATCTCTCCGCCCTAGTTATGGATGAACTAACAAAAGATATCCAAGAGGAGTGCCATGTTGTTTGCTTTTAGCAGATGATATTGTGGTTATTGATGAGACAAGACTGGTGTTAATAGAAAATTAGAATTGTGGATAAGCATATTTGAATCTACAGGATTTATGCTAAGCTAGAGCAAGATTGAGTGTATGAAGTGTGAGTTTTCCTAAGTAAGATATGAAGATTAATATTTTGTGCATCTGTTTGGACAAGGATACTCAAGAAAAATGCCTTTAGATATATAGATCAATTTTGTGCATCTGTTTTTAAAGTCATAATATTTTTAAATAATCTTTTCAAATTTGCAATTTTTTTTAATTCCAATATAATCTTTTAAAATCTTAATTCAGTATACCCCTAAATATTTTTGTCACTTATTCCCTGTGCATTCAACAATTGAATACAATGTTAATTAAGGGCCTCTTTACGAGTATTGAATTTTTTTAAGAAATGTTATTTTTATAAATTTTTTATTTATAGACTCAACTATGTATTTTGGAGAATAGACTTAGTTAGGAATGTATTCCCGAAAATACATAATATAGTTTATAAGAATTTATAAATAAAAAATTTATAAATTAACCTATTCCAATTTTTTATTGTGGTGTTTAAAATTAATATAAATGTATTTACAAGAAAAAGTAATATAAATGTAAAGGGTATCGGTATATCTGGCAAGAATTTCGGAAGGACGTTTTTGTAACTGAGCTGCACAAGGATTTTATAAAATTTGAAATATTCCCGTAATTACTGCCTACAAGCAACCGATTGGATTTTGCTTTCTAACGGGTACTTTATCGTTGGGTAAGATACCGTTGCATTCCCACAATCATCCAGATTATGTTTTTAGAGACAAAAAAGCCCTTACAACGAGTGTGATCATTATTCTCTTCTATCCCTTGTTTGGTTTGACACCAATGTTTTTATTTATTTTTATTATTCTCGACTGGAATTTTTTTCCAACGAAGGAAAAGAAAAGGTTGAAAAGCAAAGCTTGGTGGGAGCATGTGAGGAGGAGGGGGGAGCATGTGAGGAGGGGACTTTCATCTTTTGACAGCACCAAGCTGATAATTATGAATCACAATGTTGATGAGAGATGACCATTGGGCACACGTGAAACCTTTTTATGTTTTTTTTTTTGCTTGTGTCACACGAATGGTTTTTGATTCAGTGAAATATAAAAAAGAGAATTCAAGCTCAATCTTACAATATTCTGGAAAAAAAGCTCACTTGATTGAATGCCTACCCTCTCTCTATTCCCTCTGCTGCTAAGAATAAAATTTTATAAAGTCACAGATTAGTTGGCAAGCCCTGACTTTTTGCACATGAAACATCACGAGATATATCCTAACCCAGGAATGTATAGTTTGTATGTAGAACCCACTAGTTAGTAGTACAGTAACTACAGTTGCCATTTGCCAAAAAGCTTTGGATGCTAAAGTGGACTATCATTAGGTAGCCACAGATATGCCCTCTTAATTTCAATTCTTAATTCTTGTTCTGAAAAAGGTAATTAGTTACATGCAATACTTGTCATCAGTATCAATTAGTACATTCCACTATTAATTTTTATATAGAAAAAAGCCATGTTTATCAAATAATTTTTTATAAATCAAAGTGAGCAAAAATTAATAATATTTCCCTTTAACATCAACCAATGCTTTTCAGTAGCAGTTGGCTTTGGTAGCTAATCTTTGACTACATTTGGGAATAAAAAAAATTAATATTTCTCATTTTAAATGAGATAATTTTATTGATTTTAATATTTTTATAATAAATATAGATAAGTTATCTATATTCATTCTTCAAAAGCCATCGTTATGAGTTAAAAAATTAAAAAATTATAACCAGAATACTATTATAACCTTGAAATAAATTATAATTATAAAAATATCTTAATTTCTGTCCTAAAGTAATATTATTTTGGGTTCGTACATTGACTGTAGAAAAAATAAATCTCTTTTATATATGCATAAGAATGTGTTGGCCCATTTTTACATTTTCTCTTCACATAATTTCATGTGGGGTTTATATATTTTTATACGTATATAAGAGATAAAATTATCTCTTATAATATAAAAAAAATATTAATCCCATAAAAGAAGGGTAAACTCAGTTGAGTTATCACAAAGCGGGTGAATAAGAAGAAAGAAAGAGAATATTCTCGATTGGGGTAAGGGCAAGGAAGGAATAACGGAGCATAAGGTTTTTTTTTTAATCCCCAGCTCCCTCGTAACAACCGACATGTGGCGTTACGTGCGGCACACTCACACATACTTACCGTCCATAATTAAAAAGAAAAAATAAAAGTTACACAAATACGAGTTATAATGGCGGTTTCAGATTCAAAATTTAGGAATGGAGAAGGAAGGAAGGAAGAGAGAGAAAATAATTAAAAAGGAAAAAAGAAAATTAAAAACGGGAAAAACGAAGAGAAGTTACAATTACATAGAGAAGCGTGTGTATCCGTTGTTGGCGTTTGCTTTGTTTTAAAACAGAAGAAGAGTAGCTTCTACTTGTACTAGTCTTCACTCACCCTACACTCTACTCAACTCGCTCTATATATATATATATATATATATATATATATATATATATTATTATTATTATTATTATCATCCACAGTCTCTTCTGCTCTTCTCTACCATTGCGCTAACAACAAAGAATCTCGGAGATCGGAAGGTCATCGTCGTCATTTCTGCGCTTCAGATTAAAAACAACCTTAACGCAACCAGGAACAGGCACGGTCCCCCCAGTATTTTTTGTTTTGTTTTTTTGTTTCATTGTCATTTTTGAAGAGGAATGGGGAGAAAGTTAAGAGTGTGAGAATAATGAGTAATCAGTGTTGGTTGGTTGAGCAGGGAATTTCTGTATTAGGCGTTAGCAATATGGAGAGGAGCACTCCGGTGAGGAAGCCATACACTTCAACAGCAGATCTGCTTACTTGGTCCGAAACTCCACCGTCTGATTCCCCAGCTCCTGCTTCATCTGCCCTTCGTTCTCACCAGGTTTAACCCTTCTTATGTTCTATCTTTGTTCTTTTTTCCTTTTGTGGGGTTGGTGGAAAATTGACAATTTTATGTTTGTGTTTCTATTTTTGGTTTTTCCTTGTATTGGGGTATGCGTTGGAAAATTTAGCCGTCGGATGGGATCCGCAAGGTGGTGTTTGGGGGTCAGGTCACCGATGAAGAGGTCGAGAGCTTAAACAAACGGTGAGATCTATTCTCCCCTCTCTCTTTTTTTCCTTCAAATTCAACTTTCCCATATACTTCTCCTTATTATTATTTTTAAAAAATTGACCAACAGCATGACCAGTGGAGCTGGTGTGTTTGATTTTTTTTTTCTTTCTTTCTAATTTTGAAAGGAGCTGGTTCCTGAATTTTTTTAACATTTCATTTTATATTTTTTCAAAATATCTGTTACAATTTGTGTCCTTTTCCAATTGGTTCAAACGTTGTTTTGGGTCATTGATCTTGTAATCAATATTCTTTGTTTCTTTTTTTGGCCACAGCCTTCCCATAGCAATTTGGGCATGTTATCTTGCTTATCTTATCCACACATTAATAGAAAGCGAATGTCTGAAAAGGGTGAAATGGGATTGGCTGAGTTGTTGAACTTGGATGAACGGATCTATCATTTAAACCATGCTTCCTTGTTCGGTTGTTCCTCCTGATTTCCATCAAGCCTGGTTCTTCCTTTTAATAAAGGAAGTGGTGAAATGAGACACTTCAGTTCGGCTTAGTCACTCGCTAAATGTCATTCTTACTGGTTAAAAATAGTAGTATGAAGTTCAATTCAAGATATCTTCATTCTCACTCTAGTTCCTACAAAATCCACAACGAAAGCACTCATTTGGTGCATGTGTGCTACCATCCCATATTGAGCTGTCAGTATCACCTCTTAACTTTTTTGTGCAAATGGCGCATATTACTGCCAGTCCCAACTATGTATTGTCTCAGAATGAAGAAACACCTTCATTTGTTCATATATCCTTTCTCCCATTGGCCCTCCACTCTCTAATCTTTGGAGCTTGAAAAGAATGAAACAAAATTGAGGATGTTGGTTACTTTGTGGTTTTCAGTTTCATGTGCTATGCTGCTCTAGCGCCTATGCGATTCTGGACTTGGGTGAAATAAATTCAAATTCAATTTTCGAATGATATTATGAACTAAACTTTCACTTTTTCCTACTTATTAGTCGTAGATCAATTTTGCTTCGTGTCTTTATATTTTTTGGCATCTGAAATTGTCTAGCTGTGTAATTTCCAGAAAGCCTTGTTCAGAGCATAAGATGAAGGAGATCACTGGAAGTGGAATATTTGTTGCCAATGGAGAAGATGACACCTCAGAAGCTGGCAGTGGCAACCCTGCCTCAAATAAAACTGGAATACGCATGTACCAGGTATTGTTTCTTATATGAAACACAAACTTTCACATATTGTATTGATCACAGTTTTGATGTGGATTTCTGCTAAATTGTATTTTTATTGTTTATTGTTGGAAATTGAAGCAAGCAATTGCGGGGATTAGTCATATCTCCTTTGGCGAGGAGGAGAGTATTTCTCCAAAAAAGCCCACTTCTTTGCCTGAGGTGGCCAAGCAGCGTGAGCTAAGTGGAACTCTGGAAAGTGAAGACTCTATGTTGAAAAAGCAGCTTTCTGATGCAAAATGCAAGGAGCTTAGCGGTCATGACATCTTTGCTCCACCACCAGAGATCAAACCCCGGCCAATAACTCCTCGGATACTGGAGTTGAAAGGGAGCATAGACATTGGAGAACCTGCACCACGTCATGTATGCACCACTATAAGTTGCTAACCTGACTTAATTGGGTGAATACTTTTCAAATTTTGATCGTAATTTTTATATTTGGATTATACTTCAGTAACCTTTGTCTACACGCAAATAGAGCGCATATAGGACATTGTTTAGGCAAATATGATGAATGCAATGATTTTACAAGAAAGGAAAACTGAAGTTATTGCACCATGGAATGAATACTGCTAATTGTGGACATCATAATTTGTGAATCTTATGAACACTGAGTATAATAATTGTGTACTGCACGAGATGTTCTTCATGCATTATGCATAGTGTAATGCTTTTATGTAGCGTCTGTTAATCTTTGTGTATTTCAAATTGTAAAGAACCAATTTAACCCAAAAGCTTAACCTTTTGGGTTAAATTGGTTCTTTACATGGTATCAGAACTTCGGTGTCACGGGTTCGATTCTCATCTCCAGGAATTTCTTAGCACAGATAAATGGGTCTGTACATTGTCCACCCTTCAAGGGCGTTAGAGAAATATAAAAATCATTAATGTAGTCTTGCCCATCAGCTCAAATTTTTGAATTAAATTGGTTCTTTACATAAGTGGTCTGGGTTGTGTACTTTGGTTTACAGGCTGATGGAGATCATGGCGATACCAAGTCTACTGGGGATCCAATAATGAAGACGGCAAAGAAGATTTGTAACCAGAAATTTGCGGAACTTTCAGGAAACGACATATTCAAGGGTGACGCTCCACCTTCATCTGCTGATAAATCTTTGAGTGGGGCTAAACTACGAGAGATGAGTGGCAGTAACATATTTGCCGATGGGAAGGTAGAATCTAGAGACTTCCTAGGTGGCGTACGTAAGCCACCCGGTGGCGAGAGCAGCATTGCCTTGGTATAAATTTATTAGGTCTAACTTATTTTCTTACTGTCTTGTTTTGTTTTAATTGATTTTTAATGGGAATGTGTTATTATATTATTTGACCTTGTATTCTGGGTTTTGGGGATTTGTGTTTTAGGTTTCTTGGTGTCTTGACCAAAAAGGACCATATATCTGCTAATTGGGGGTTGTATGTCCATAATCCTCTGTTTTCCTGTGTTTGCTTTAATGTAGTGATTTGGACTTTTAGCTGATCAAGTGTTTTATTACTTCTCTACAGTCTACATTGTCTTCCATTCAGAAGTTTGAATGTGTGGTTGGAGGAAATAATCTGTGTTTTTAAGCTAGGTTTTTTATTTTAAAAAAATTCTTAACACGATATGAGTTAATTTAAATATTCATTTAAGTATGCAATAAAGCTTTCATCAATGTGGAAGAAGCCAACACATATGGCTGTTACTGTATTCTCCTATCCTCAAAATAGGAAAAAAGGGAGAGAAGGATACACCGGCTATCTAAAGGTAGCTTTGAAGCAAAGGATTTAGAAATAGAAAGCAATGAACTCCTGGATAACCTAGGTCGGCAGGGTAAAAAGCAAGAATACCTTATGTGATGTTTTAGCAGACTCATATTTTTATGTATATATAAGAAAAGACGGGTGTTTTTCATGTAAAAGATAAAATTGTTTTTTATATATATATAAATATATGTTGGGTTTATATATATATATATATATATATATATATATATATATATATGGCTTTTCGTTCACATATTTTTATGTTTATGTAAAAAATAAAATTATTTTTTACATGAAGAATATTAATCTGATGTAAGAAACAATAATCTCAAGAAAAATATATGTAAAACTATGATGGAGTTTAGTAATTTTGTTTGCATTCTATCGTTATTTTTAGTTGGTATATTTTTTTCACAAAGTATATTTTTATGTTTATTAATAAAATATATTAATTAAAAAAATCAAATCGTTATTTTTTAGAGTAGAAACAGCTGTCAGCTGTGTAAGTTGCCAGAGCCAGACAATTCAGCAGGTTGTTTACGGCAGACCCCAAACCCCTAGCGGAGCATGAGCTCTGAAAGTGGTTACTATACCGGCCCACAAAAAATAAATAAATGACCGAATAGTGGTAGCTTCTTTTTATTTTTATTTTTTGGTATTCGTGAATAACTGAAAATGAAAAAGCCTCGATTCAGATTAATGTAGGTAAAATAACCACTATTTATTAGAGAATTTAAATTTGGAAAGAATTTAAATTATTGTTCACGTGCTCATATGTTTTTTACATTTGGAAAGAATTTAAATATTTTCATTCTTGATCCTTCCTGTATTTCAGATTAATTTCATAGTCAGGTCAGAGAATCAAAATGTATAAAAATAACGAAAAAGCCAAATCGCCTCAAGAGGTAATTAGAGATTTAGAATTGGGTTAACTTCAAAGTTACATAACTAAATAAAAAAAAAAATGGTTTTACCATTTATTTATTCGCACTTTTGCATTGCATTTGTATATGGTCGTTGACTCAAGAAGCGATAAATATCTTCCCATTCCATCTTATTCGTTCTTAGAAATCGGCTTTAGTTTAACACGAGAGAATAGTAATCATATAAGAGTGAATCAATGATGATTATTTTAAAACTATTTATCTTAATATTTTTTTTTTCTGTTTTTCTTTATCATTATTGATTCACTCTTGTACTGTTATGATTCTCTCATATGTTATATTAAATAAGAGGTAGGGTATTCTCACTACCAATTTTTTGTACTACCACTCCATTACCACTCTAATCACCATCAGATTATATGAATAGTTGAATGAAGAAAGAGAAAAGAAAAATAACTTTTGAATCCAATGATGATTAAAGAGGTAGTAGAAAAATTAGTAGTAAGAATATCCTATCTCGTTAAATAATACATCAGAGGATCAATTCCAAAAAAGGTGTGAGGTTCTTATTTTATTTTTCTCTTTTTTCTTCGCACATGGTCCCACATGGGTTATAGACTTTTATGTATGTGTAGAAGATAATTTTATCTCCTATAACATGAGAAACATTAAACCCCTAAAAAGAATAGGTTATTTTACCTACATTTTCCTACTACTCTCAAATACCATCAAACCAAAATCTCAACTACCTTTATCATTTGTCTTTTCTACTGAGATTCTGATATAATGATGTTGGAAAATGGTAGGCAAAGGTAAACAAACAAAAAAAGGGATAAAATAACCTATCCCTATATATAAACTAAAACTCTTTTACTGATATATGAAATACGCATAATTTAATGATTATGTGAATTTCCAAAAACTAAAGACAATGCATGAAATATCTAGTTTAGCTAACTTTTATTGTCATCTTTTTCTTATATTGTTGGAGATAAAATTATATTTATCTTGTAGGAGAAATATTAAATTCATATGATAAACATGTCTAATATTTCTATTGTGATATAAGATAAAGTTATCTTTAGCTTGACAGAGAAATATTAAACCCATATAATATATGAGTCTAGTATTTCTCTTGTTGCACGAAATAAAATTATCTACTACAATTTCAAAATAATATTATTTTGGAATTTGAAAAAAAAAATGCAAGGAATTTAGAGAAATTCATATTGCCAAAGAGAACCAAAATTCTCAAAATGTATAATATTTTTTTATTCAAACTCCAAAATAATATTGTTTTGAATTACGAGAGATAACTTTTTTCCGAAAGTTCTTTTTATACATAAGAAAATATATCAGGTCTAGAGCCAAAGATCATAGTTTTCGAATGAGCAATCGAAACGATTCAGGACATTTGCAGGTTTAGGTATTATTCCCTTAATGATTGTAGTTCACATACTTCTTGTTGGGCTTTAATATGATAATTTTTTTTTTTTTGGAAAAACAAATAGGAAAGAAAAAACAGCAAAAAAATAAGAAGACTAGGTACACATGACACATCCTAGACCAAGCTACTCTTACATAATTCCTTTCAAGTCTGTCACGACAACTTGGTGGAGGTGAGACAAACTCTTGTAAGGACTAGTCGAAAAAATAAGCGACTGAGGCTATCCAATCTGCAACCTCATTTCCTTCCCTATGATATGATCAAATTTATAAGTAATTATCTCTTGTAAAATATGAGTAACATCAAATACTTCGAGGATCCAACCTCCATTTCACCTACCCTTTTGTGATAGGATAAGTACTAAACTCATAATATATAGATACTAATAGATATGCAATAGGGATTTGCCTATAGGATAACCGAGGTGCTCTCCTTAAATTCTATGAAAAAGTGTTTTATGTTTTTTGGACTCTACCAGCATTCGAAGCAGGACCATTGTGGTGTTGTCCAATTCCATGAACAAGTTTGAAATATAGATATAAAACATATTTTCATGGCTTTTTATTCTCTAGAAGTTTTTTTTAATGATTTTCACTCTATGCGTTTGGATATCAGGTTTTAAAAAAATTATAAGTCACAAAAACGTTAAAAAATCTTACCCTAAAATTTCAGGTTTATAAAAATTATAGGAGTTAAAAGCCAAATATTTTTTTCACCGGTGCTACCACGGCCAGATATTGTTTCAACAATTTGCTTTCTCATTTCCTTTTTTAATAACTCTACACATAAAATATGTTTTCTAAGTTTAATATCCAAATAATTTTTTTAGTTGAGTGTAATTTTTAAATATTACATCTAAATACAAAATAACATTATTTTTTTAAAAAAAAAATACATAAACCTTTTTTTTAAAGTCCATTCAAACGAGATATAATCAAACCTAAAATTTTAGGTTTATAAAATATATAAGAGTTAAAAGCCAAATATTTTTTCATCAGTTCCACCACCGCTAGGGGTGTAAATGAGCCGAGTCAAGCTTATGAAAAATATTTTGAACTTGGTTTGGCTCATTAGCTTGGTACGAGCTAAATTCTAAGTTTGACTTGACTTGTTTATAAAAAATTAAAGGCTTGGCTTGAGCTTGGCTTGGCTTGAGCTTGACTTAACTCATTTATAATTATAAAATGTATTTTTTTCAAACTCATATACATCCAAATGTTGAGACTATAAATGTATCAAATTCTGTATTCCTTCGTTAGAGAAAAAACAATCATAGAACCTACTCAGTCCACATATATTTTAAGATTGAATAATGAGTTCCGCAATTTCTTCTTAAACATTGATCCCGCTCTTGAAATAGAGAATGTGGAAAAAAAATATTTTAAGAAAAGTATGTAATATAGACTAACCTTTAAATTTTTTCAATGATAACAGTTTGTAATATTAAAAAAATAAAAAATAACAGTTACTATGACCTTTATTAAAATAACCAAACAAACTCGACAAATAATTGAACCTCATCTCATCTCATGTCACCATCATTCCCATCCTCAAATTGGAATATAGAGGTTAACAATTAATATCCACTAACGACACCTAACCAAAGAAAAAAACTGCCTATTAGCACTACTACCAGACCTCATCTTTCTCTAGGGAAATTTAGCACTTATCCCAAAGTCCATCAACACCTTCATATGAGCAATTTGATATAAAAATAGGATTAATGATTTAGTGACATAAAAATATATTATTTAATAAAATAATATATTGGGCCAACTTAGGGGCTTTCAAGCCAATCTCATTAAATTAGGTTTTGACTTGTTTGCTAAATAAGTTTTTTTTAAAGCTTGAGCCCGTTCTATTTCTTAAACAAGTAAGGTCAAGTCAAGCTTAAAACAAGCCAAGCCTTGTGCTCTTGACAAGCCGCTTGACTCATTTACACCCTGAACCACCGCCAAATCTTGCTTCAACAATTTGCTTTCTCATATCCTTTTTTAATAATTTTACACATAAAATTTGTTTTTTAATTTTAATATCCAAATAATTATTTTTTAGTTGAATGTGATTTTTAAATATTACATCTAAATACAAAATAACTTTAATTTTTTTAAAAAACAATACATAAAACTTTTTTTAAAGTTCATTCAAACGAGTTATAATCAAACTATTTATTTGATTGGAATATGAAGGTAAATTAGATGATTTTCTTCATTTGATTAAATTTGGGTAATAGATCATTTCAGTTGATAATAAATTCGACAGATAAATCAATATTTTAATGACAAAACTTCATTAAAAGTAATGGAAATTAGATGAAATTTTTTTATGACAACTCCTACATGGTAAGTAGTATAAATGGGAGGGACA